TCCTCCTCCTCCTCCTCCTCCTCCTCCTCCTCCTCCTCCTCCCCCTCCCGCCGCCTCCCCCCGTGGGCGCCCCTCCTGGCCCGCCGACGCTGCACGGTGGAGCCCTTGAGCTCCAGGATCAGCTCCTGCGGACCGCCGCTGCCCATCCGAGCCCGCCGCACACACCTCCCTGGCGTTCAGTCGGGCATGTCCCTCTACAGGAGGGATCTTCCAAAACAGTCAAATAGTCTGGGGACGATTTGTGATATTTTTCGAATATGTGTAAACTTGTTTTGAATAGTTCCTGGTTGTTCGTTCAAAATCCGCCTGTAAGAGAGCATGCCAGACCTAGCCCTGGCGCCCGGGGAGCGGCGGCCACCCGGGGGGCGGCCGCCCGGAGAGCCGCCGCCGCCCTTCGCCGTCGTCGTCGTCGTCGCCGCCGCCGCCGCCGCCGTCGTCAGCGTCGTCATCGTCGTTGTCACCGTCAGCGTCGTCGTCGTCGTCGTCGTCGTCGTGGTCGTCGTCGTCGCCGTCGTCGTCGTCGTCGTTGTCGTCGTCGTCAGGGGGCCTGGCACCCTCGCGCCGCGGACAAAGCACAACGGAAAACGTTCGCCAATTGTCTGCCTCTGGGGGCTTTCAGTGGGCCCCGGGGCCGTCAAACTTAGGCTCAGGATGCACGCCAGCCCCGAAGAAAGGGACCAGACATTCAGGGGTCGCGCTACGTGGGTGGGCACATCCCGACGCCGATGGTCTGGGGCACCCCCATCTCAGCGACGCTGGCGCCGCCACGACCGCCTCCAAAAGAGACTCGCCCTCCTCCGCCCTCCGACGGTCACGTGCGCGCCCCCTGTTTGATGGGCCTATTTCCACCACCACCACCATCAGTTGCAGGGGGGGAGGGGTCCTCCTCCTTCTCCTCTTCCTCCTCCTCCTCCTCTTCCTCCTCCTCCTCCTCCTCCTCCTCCTCCTCCCCCTCCTCCTCCTCCTCCTCCTCCTCTCCTCCTTCTCCTCCTCTCCTCCTCCTCTTCGTCCTCCTCCCGTCCTCCTCCTCCCCCCTCCTCCTGCCTCCTCCTCCTTCTCTCCTCCTCCTCCTCTTCGTCCTCCTCCTCGTCCTCCACCTCCTCCCCCCCTCCACGTTATGGTGGCGGTGGTGGACAACAGGCCCATCGCCTGTTGCGTGGTGCCTCGGAGCACAGCCAGCGCAGCAGCGGCAGCCCCGCCCGCGCCCCCTGCGGGCGCGGCGGGGCACCGCGCGGCGCGGCAGCGGCAGCGCCAGGCGGCGAGGCTCGCGGCCCGCCGGCCGAACCGGAGTTCCGCCCGCCCCGCCTGCCCTCGCCTTCTCCTCCTCCTCCTCTTCCTCCTCCTCGTCCATCTCCATCTCCATCTCCTCCTCCTCCTCCTCCTCCTCCTCCGCCTCCCCTCCAAGCGGATACCATGACAATGGAAACCCTAAAAGTCCCATCGTTGAACTAACACTGTGCCTTGAACATGTAGGAGCATGGCTCTGAAAAGTGGCAACCATGTGTTGTACAAGCTCACGACATGTTTGAAGCATGCTTGAAACATCTGGAGATGATTTGGCAGCGCGATTCCTCTCCATTGATCGTCGTCCACAAGTCTTGCCAGTGGACCCACAGACCCGGTGCTCCAGAAAATTTGGAGCGGCAAGCCCGTTGGCCGCTTTCGGGCTCCAGGGGCCCTCGCCGGGCCCCGGGGCCGCCTCCAGAGACGTCTCGGGGCGAAGAGCCGGCCCCAGGGAAGTGGTCCCGACACCTCCGGGGCCCACGCATCGAAACCAGTGGAGCCGCTGGATGTCTGGGGAGGAGGCGGGCCCCGAGGGAGGCGGGTGATGGAGCCTGGGGCCTTCCCCAGACTAGCTCGTCTTCCCGAGTGCTTTGGTTGCGGTCTCCGGGGGCAAGGGCAGGATCCCCCAAAGAGCCCGAGGACGGCGAGGAGCCTCGGGTCCCGCTCCCTTCAGGGCCCATAGCTTCTCCATGGGGGCTGCCCTTTAGCAGGCCCAAAGACTGCGGAGCAGGAGTTCTGCAGCAGGGGAGTCGACACCCCAATGGTGGCAGGTGGGGGTAGAAGCTCTCCCACCGCCCTGGGACAGGAGCCCGCGACCGCGGTGAAGTTTTTTTCCGTGTATTCTAGAACGCGCGTCAAGGCACGGGGGGGGCCGCTCCGTCCGCCCCGACCGTGCGCCCTGCCGTGGCGCTCAGGACTCTCTGGGCATCGTCGCGTATAGCCGACGTTGCCCAGTGGTCCCACACGCAGACCAACCTCGCTGCAGGTCAGCCTGTCTGAGTCGCTCTCCAGACAGGGTTGTGGAAGGTCCTAGGTTGATATTAAACATTGTATATATATATATGTACATATAAATGTGTATATATATACATACATATATGTACACACTCGGAAAACCGAAATACTCAGCGTTTCCTGGCTCCGAGGGCGCCAAACACTCTGTAATCTTGGTTTTTCGTTGCTACGGAGAGGAGGACACGGAAAGGAGAAGGAGGAGAAGGATGATGGGCGAGGAGGAGGAGGAGGCATTGTGTCTGGAGAAGGAAAATGGGGAAAGGAGGAAGGAAAGGAACAGAGAAGGAGGACGAGAAGGAACGGAGAAGCAGAGCGAGGTGTGATCTTGGATGGGGGGGGCAACCTATATGTATATTTATATGCACATATATACATATATCTACACACATAGATGTGTGTTTATATATACATGTATATCTATCTATCTATCTATCTATCTATATATATATATACATGCGCCAACGCTGGCACCACGTGGCATACACAGACGTGGCTTCCAGGGTGGTTCGCCTTCCGTGTTCGGCGGCACCGTTTGCCGCCCCGTGAGCGGCCGGAGGGTCTGGGCGTGGGCAGGCCTCGGCAGGGCACGATGCAGGGACGGAGCTGTGCTTAGGTCGGGCGTGTTCGCCGACAGACAATTTGGGCGACAAGAATGAAAATACTACAGAAATGGCCCCAACTATTCAAAACATTCGAAACAAATCGTCCTCATACTTTTTGTTGTACTATGTTTGAATATTCCTCCTGTAGGGGGACAGGCCCAACTTAAACCTATGCCACGCTGGACCTCAAGCTGGCCCAAAATCATACGAAGCTTGGCGGCCAGCCAGAATGAGGACATCTCCACCAGCGCACGAAGCATTCAATGGCTGGCGCTCCTGGTCACTACCGAGGCACATGATTATCGCCACGTTCTGCTGTCTGTGCTCCCTTCTCGCCAGGGGCGGGGACGTTAAGCTGCTTCGATCGAATGTCGCTTCCCATGGCTAAAATCGGCTGCTGCTCAGGGCTGCTGTCTTGGACTGAAATCGTACTGGTTCCGGCAAACTGTTGACATCCAGGTATTCACAAAATCTGAAATAAGTAAAAGGACACATACATCGCAAAGCGGGCGAAGTATGAGTGTGAGTTTGCTCAGACATGGAAGCTCGAGACATTGTCTGGAACTGGAAATTTGGAACATGTTGACAAGTTCACCCAGGTCTGTAAGTTTGCAAATAGATTGAACAAGAGTTCGCCCGGATTTGAAAAACAATCGTTGGAAACAGTTTTCACAGAGTTGGAAGTTTGAATGATTCAAAAAGTTCGCCTGTACTTGGGAGTTGGAGCGAAACTGGAAGCAGTTCGCCCGTATCCGGAAGTTGGGACACAGCTTCACAAACAAAATTGACCAGATTTGGAGGTCTGGTTAAAAGTGAATAAAAAGGTCGTCTGGATTTGGAAACATGAAGAACATGCGTTTGAGTAATCTGACACAATACGGGCATCAACGTGGACAACTTTGGAAATTAGAATCACACTTGCCCGTTCTTTCCATACTCCTAACTTTTCTCTGTCTCACACTCATACTTCCGCTTAGCTTTGACTTCGAACTTTTGGCATACTTCGAATATCCCGCGTCCGGCCATCCGTTTGCTTGCTTGCGGCGCCAGAATCTTACACCATCGCACACGTCTGCGTCTATGATGTGATGATGCATGCCTGGGTGAGGCAGACCCCTGGGCCAACCCAAGGTAATAATGCTGAAGAGCAGGTCTACATGACTACGCATGCTGAATAATGATGGCCCACCTTGGCGATGCGAGATGCGAGCGAAAGCAACATTGGACGATACATGCATGACACGACAAAGAATCAAAACATACAAGAGGGCACAGGTCTGCTGAACCGACAAAGCTCCGACCACTACCGCGCGTTGATGTCAGCGCGGGCAGACCAGCACATCCCAGCACAGGCTGGAGAAGAAACGACAAAACGCGGTCAGGGATCACGGAGCAGACGCTAGCAAGGCGGCGGAGAGAAAGGAAGAAACACCACTCCGAGTGGCAGGGCGCTCCGCTCGTCCATGTCACCTCACCTCCTCTCTTGTGGCAGAGCGCTGTGCTGCGGGAGACAGACGGGTCCTTGTCCTTGAGCACGCAATGGCAGCCGGAGACGCGCGAGATCTTCTCGGGGAACCTGCTGAAGGACAGCTGCGCGACGTCGTCGGCGCCCAGCCGCATGTGTTCCACGCCGAAGTCCGCGGGCGGCCCCTCCTCCGACAGCCTGCGCGTCCGCGCGCTCGGGCGAGGCGGCACCGGGACCCTCCGGCTGGGCCTGATCCGCTCCAGCGCCCTGCCGACAGGTCACTGCACTGCGAGGAGGAGGAGGAGGAGGAGGAGGAGGAGGAGGAGGAGGAGCAGAAGGAGGAGGCTCGCAGACCTGGACTTGAGAGGCAGACTTGGCACGCAGTCGTCGCGCCGCCATGAGGGGGGCTGAGACAGGAGCGGAGGGCCTCCTCTGGCCACGGCGAGGCTCGGTCGCGCATGGCCCCCCCGACCTGGCTCCCGGGAGCGGCCCAGACAAACAGAGCCCCACAAGGCCCTCGTCTTCACGCCTGAACTGTAAAGGCTTCACTTCTTCAGCGCCTTGGCTCACTTCAGCGCCTTGGCTGTAGCAGCCGCTGCGTGCTGAGACGAAAGCGGTCCTAACTTCAGCGCCCTGGCAGTAGAGGCGTCTGCAAGATGAGCTGTTCTGGGTGTCGACACAGAGGCCTGCCGGGGGCGGCCGTGTACTTCAGACGCGGGTGCTCCGCAAACCCGTCTAGGACGAGGGCGCCCAGGCTGGGAAATGTTGCTTTCACGCGTAGCACCGGCGGCCCGGGCGACACACGCAGTACCTCGCGAGAGGATGGCGTGTCGCTCCGCTCCGCAGGGCGGGGGGCTCGGACAACAAAAAACTCTGGACGCAGACGCCCGGGGGGCCGCGAAGTGGATAGCGTGTCGCGCAGAGGCGCAGTATACCAGAACCCGCCGAGCAACACGCTACTCAAAAGTTCCCGATCGTGGCGCAACATAGCCCGAGATATGTGCGCGAACCGCCAGGGCACGCGGAGGTATACAGTTCGCTGCTTGGTACCCGCCGCCGAACCAGACGGCGAGCATGCTTCTGGCACAGTCGCGTATCGCCCTGCATGCTTTTCAATACCTTCTCATTCCAATCGTGACCCCGCAGCGGAGGGGACACGAGAGGGAGAGGGGTTATACGGCGGCGAGCAAGCGGGTGACTCCCATGGAGGGGAGCAGGCGGACGAGAAGGGGAGGGTGAGAGCAAGCAGAAGGCAGAGGACGGGCGGGAAAAGGGAACATGGACGCATGAGCCCTGGTCCACCCTCCTTTTCGCCCCCTCCTCCCTGCTTCTCCGCCCTCTCTGCGCCTCTTCCAGCCTCCTCTGCCTCCCCCTCATGCTCCTCCTCCTCGTCATCATTCTCCCATCCTCCCAGAGGCGAGCCTGAATTCCTTATCGCCGACGGTACCACCCACGCCGATCCGAACTGAACCTCCTCCCTGCGCCAACCTCCTCATCCGCAAACATCCCTCCTCCACCATCCCTCAACTACCTCCTCACTGTTCCTCCCCCCCTCTCTGTTGATCCGCTGATGACGGCATAAGGGCATCCTCACGCTGCCTCCCTCCCTCCTCTCGCTCATTCGCCGGGCCTGGCCTCTTCCTTACACCCTCCTCCTCCTGATTGGCATCATCATCATCATCATCATCATCATCATCATCATCATCATCATCATCATCATCATCATCAGCACCATCATCATCATCATCATCATCAGCAGCATCATCCTCATCCTCATCCGGATCCTCATCCTCATCATCAACATCATCATCACCATCACCATCACCATCACCATCATCATCATCATCATCATCATCATCATCATCATCAGCATCATCATCATCATCATCACCGTCATCGTCATCATCATCATCTTCCTCCTCCCGTCTTCCTGTTATCCTCCGCAACCTCAGCTTCATCCTACTCCTCTTCCTCCTCCTCCTCGTCCTCATCATCATCATTATCATCATCATCATCACCATCACCATCATCATCATCATCATCATCATCACAATAATCATCATCATCATCATCATCATCATCATCATCATCATCATCATAGTCATCATAGTCATCATAGTCATCATCATCATCATCATCATCATCATCATCATCATCATCATCAGCATCATCATCGTCTTCAGCAGCATCAGCCCTCCTTAGTTGCTTCGCTACTGCACAGCATCATGACGATCTTTTCAATCATGGTGGCGAGGGAGGAGGAGCGGGCGAGCGAGCGAGCGAGCGCGCGGCTTCCGCATTCGGGAACCTTGGGCCCTGGACAGGGCGGCGCTGGGAGGGCCTCGGCCCTAGCACCTCGGGCAGGGCAATTCTCGACGTCCTGTTTCCGGCTTGTCCTTTCACCCGCCGCGGCGCCGTCGGTGATAGGGCTCCGCGCGGGGCCAGCGCAAGGTCAAGTGTGCAGACGGCTGAGGGCGGGGGCCCGTCGTCAACGCCGATGCCGCCGCCGTCGCAGCCGCTGCCGCCGCCACCGCCATCCTCGCCGCCATCGCAGCTGCCGCCGCCGCCGCAGCCGTCGGCGTCCTCGCGCCACCGCGGCCTGCGTCTCCAAAGGTCCCCGACGCTGCGAAGCAGGAACCGCAGCATCGAGAATCACGCAGCAGCCCGCAGATGCGGATGAGTGTGACGGGGCTGGCGCAGGGTGGGTCGCGGGATTGGGTCGCGGTCTGGCTCGCGAGTGGGTCGCGCGGTGGGTCGCGGGGTGGGTCACAGCTGGTCGCGGACGGGTCACGGGCGAGGGCGACGACAACAACAAGCACGCAACAACGATCCGCACCGCGGTATGCCACTTCAGCCACGCGCTCAGGGACAGTCAAGGACCGTTCGGCCCCCTCATTCTGATCATGCCCAGAGCCCTAAACCCCATCTTTCTGGAACATCCTCCGAGGCGCATCGATCTGTGATGGCCCCGAGGCCCGAAACTGGGCAACACAACGCCTGGTAGGAAGAAACTGCGACGCCCATATCTCAAGGTCGACGCGGTCGCCGTCGTCGTCGAGGCTGGGCCTCGGGGATCTTCTGACCCGGGTCAATCCAGACCCGGGTCAGCAGGAAACCAAAAACTGCAATGCAAGACAACAAAAACTGCAACGCAGGTCCTCGCAAACCCGGGTCAGCCAATATGTGCGGCCGCCTCGCGGCCACTAACGGTTCGCTGACCTGGGTCAGCCAGAGGGGGTCTTCGCAGGATACTGCAGGATCTGGTGCCCTGGCTGACCCCCGTTTGCGTTGACCCCCGTCTCAAGGCTCCCGATCGTCGTCGCCGCCGCCGCACCGGCCGGTCCGATCGGCGCCTCTCCGGGCTCCCGCTGCGCCGGCTGCGGCTGCTGCTGCTCGACCTGCTGGGCGTGGGGCTCCTGCTGCCGGCCGCCAAGGCGGGCGGGCGGCAGCGGCGAGGCCGACGGGGACGGTGCCGAGCGCCGAGGGCGGCGGCGCCGAGGGCGCCGAGGACAGCGCCGACGGCGGCGGCCGCGGCGGCGACGACGCCGATGGCGGTGGCAGCGACGGCAGCGCCGAGGGCGCCGAGTGCGACGGCGGCGTCGAGCTCTGCGGCCAGCGCGGCGGCGACGGCGACGGCGACGGCGAGGAGCGCGGCGGCGGCGCGAGGACTGCGGCAGAGGCGATGGACGAGAGCGGCGGCGGGAGGTGACGACGAGAGAGAGGGAGGGGGGGGGGGGGAGGGAGGGAGGTGGAAGAGGGAAGGGGGTAGCCGGATGAGGCTGGAGCAGCTCTGTCTCCACCTTACCCCCCTCCCTCCTCCGCGTCCTCTTCCTCTGCTCCACGAAATCGGCCGACGTATCCCTCCATGCCTTGCTTTTCATCCGTCCTTCCTTCCTTCCCTCTCCTCTTTCTCTTCATCCCCTTTACTCCTCCTCATTCTCCTCCTCCTTCTCCTCACCCTCCTCCTCACCGTCTTCGTGATGATCCTCCACCTTCCAATAGCATCCCTCCCACTTTTCCGTCCTCCTTTTCACAAAACATACCCACTCTACATCCTCCCTCCTCCCTCTACTCCTCGTCCACCACTCTCTTGCTTCCTCTAACATACTTCATTACTGTCCGTAGCCTTCCATTATATTGGCTCCTGCTGATCCTCCTTCTCATTCTGCGCTTCAGACGCTCTGGGTGCCCTGACTGTTGGTGCCCGCGCCCTCCACTGCCAGCGCTCAGCGCGCCGAGCGCCTCATCCGTCTCCTCCTCCTCGATCCTCTCTGCACTGTTCCTCTTCCCTCCTCCTTCTCCGTCTCCTCCTACTCCTCCCCTTTGTTGCGTCGAGCGGCCATTCGCTGTACAGCTGTTGCCAACTCCTCCTCCTTCCTCCTCCTCCTCCTCCTCCTCCTTATCATTCCTCCTCCTCCTCCTCCTCCCCCTCCTCCTCCCCCTCCTCCTCCCCCTCCACCTCCATCCCTTTTCTTCATGTAACTCCTCCCTGTGCACCCCCAAGTTTGTCGATCTGGGGCTGTCTCGGCGAGGGTGGCGCCTCCCCAGCGCGCTCACCTAGACAGCACCTATCTGGAACGCTCGGCTTCGCACAACTCGCTGGCTCTAAGAGGTACCCTCGGGGCCGGAGCGCATTCCTGTGACGTGCCTCCTCCGCGACGACCACGGCCCATGAAGGGTGAACAGCCGGACTCAGGGAGAGCCACGAGTAACGATCCGTGCCTTCGCGGTCTGGGCGAAGAGGCTGGATCCCATGGATGTGCGCTCCCGTGGATGGATGCGCTCTGCGCGCGGCGTTCAGGCCAAGTCGCCCCGCATCGGGGAGCCAGCTGATGACCCGAGCCCTGGGCCCTCGAGGCCCCAGCGGCACGACTCCAGAGGCCACGACCCCTTCCCGGGGGGCCAGCTCCTCGCCCCAGGACCCGTCTCCGATGGCCCCAGGGCCAGCTGCCGGGCCCCTCTGCAGGGGCCGATGAGAGAGTCGAGCTGCCACGCCCAGGCTGGGGAGACAGCAGGCTGTCGGAGCTCTGGCACACGCGATCCTCCTCCTCCCCCTCCTCCGCCTCCTCCTCCTCCTCCTCCTCCTCCACATGATCCTCCTCCTCCTCCCCCTTTTCCTCCTCCTCCTCCTCCCCCTTTTCCTCCTCCTCCTCCTCCTCCTCCTCCTCCTCCTCCTCCTCGTCCTCCTCCTCCTCTTCCTCCTCCGCGAGAGAGCCGCGCGCCTGTTCAGGTCGGACGCGACGCTCAGGTCGTCCTCCAGGGCCGCGTTCAGGTCCAGCGCGCCTGGAGGGCGGTCCCGCCGCCCGGGGCGCCCCAGGGCCCACCGCTAGAGGCACAGCGGAGGCCAGTCCTCGCGAAGTCTTCCACGAGAAACCCAAGCCTGAGACCCCAGGACGCGTCACGCCTTCCATCGCAAAATCGTCGAAGCCCAAGAAGCCAAGGGCACCCTGGAGGCGAGCAGGGTGTCGCCACTGTAACCACGTGCGGACCCTGCCCCTGCGGGTCAGCCTGCTGAGGCGCCGCCCCTGGGGCTCAGCATCGAGGCCGGTCTGCAGCCCAGTATAGAACAGCCGCGGGTCTCGGCACCCCTGTGGTTGCACACGGCTACTGCCTGCAGTCCTGTGCAAATGGCGTTTGTATGTATGCATGTGTGGATGTGTCTACATACGTACGTATGTGTGTATGCATGTACGTAGGGCCGCGCGTATGTGTGGATATGTAAAGGTATGTAAACATGTACGCATACATGCAGACATGCATGTGTGTCTGTACGCATGTGCACCTACGTGTGTGTCCTGCACGCATGTATACGAACACATATACATATATATATACACATTATGCAAACATGCATTCACGCAATCATGCATGTACACATGTATGTATGTACACGTCTATATATGTGTGTATGTATGTATGTATGTATGTGTGTGTGTATGTATGGATGGATGGATGGATGGATGGATGGATGGATGGATGGATGGATGGAGGGATGGATGGATGGATGGATGGATTTGTGTATGTATGTATGCGTGCATGCGTATGTATGTACGCACGCATGTATGTACGTGTGTGCACGTATGTGTATATAGGCATGTGTGTATGTATGCAAGTATGGGTGGATTTGTGTATGGAGGGGAGTATGTACGTAAGTATGAATGTATGTATGTGCATACTTATGCATACATTCATGTATGTATGTATGTAAGTAGGTATGCATGTATGCATGTATGCATGCATGTGTATGTGTATGTCTGTTTGCTGTATGTATGCATGTATGCATGTATGTGTGTTTGCATGCAAGCATGTGCGTATGGATGTGTGTATATAAGCAGGTATGTATGAATGAGTGTATGCATGTATGTGCGCATGTACGCATGTATGCATACTTGTACGTATGGATGTGAGTATGGATGTACGCATGTATGCCTGTATGCATGTTATGAATGTACGGGTGGATGGATGCATGGATGGATGGATGTATGTCTGTATGTGTTGTTCGACCGCTCTGGACCGCTCTGGTGGAGCAACTCAGCTTCCTCCCAGGCCAGCCTGACTCCCGCCTGGGCCGCCGCGGTCGCCGCGCGACAGGACCCCCCTCTCCCGAGCCTGGAAGCCGAGCCGATCCTGTGAGCCCCGCGGAGAGCCGCGAAGACACGTTGGGTGCAGATGCCGCTATCTGGAGCCAGGATGTCGCCATGTGGTTCCAACAGGGGCCCTGCTGTCGAGGATCGCAGGAGTTGCACCTCTTCCTCGGCGGAGGGCGGCGGAAGGTCGGCGGAAGCAAGACGAGGCCACCTCCGCCAGCGGAAGGTCCGGCGGAAGGATAGGCACCGGGCTGGCGGAAGTGAAGGATGCACCCCCAAGAGAGGAACGCGTCTTTGGGGAGCAGGGTTCGCGAAGTCGCCCACGTGACCTGCTGGGGCCTCTCTCCTGCTTTTGGACCGCGCAAGTCTGGCGACGGGAAGGGAGGCCCCTCCAGCCGCGAAGCCTCTCTGCGGGCCTCCCGGAGAGACGCCCGTGCACGAAGCCCTCTGCACGAGGCTGCCCGCGTCGCCCCCCGGCGCCGCGGCGCGGGCACTCCCAGACGAGAGGCGCAGACAAACTGCACGAACAGAACTTCGCGGACGTCCGCGAGGATTCCCTGGATCGGCGCTGGGCCGCTCTGGCGGCGCCTCCGGCGCCGATCCAAGAAACCAGCGCGGACCTCCGAGCCATTCTGTTGCATCCCGTTGTCTACTTTCGGCCGACTGCACCCGAAGCGTCCATCTGTGTGGCCGCCCGACGTGGTGCTCGAATGCGCAGGGTCTCGGCACGGAGGCTGGGCAGCGGGAGCCCAGGTTTGCCCTGACGACTGCAGGGTTTCGAATGCCTCTCCGGACCTGACTATGCAGACGGGTACCTGGCATCGGACGTGTGCAGTTTCCCTCGGCGACCATCCTGGACCATCGAGCAAACAAAAACACGCACGAAACCGACGGGAAATGGACGTCCGAGCGATGGCAAGGGCGTACTAGAGCACCCCTGCGCTGATAGCGCCCAGGACACCGTCGATCAGTGCAACCCTGATGGTGCTCAGCAGGCGGGGACCTGAGCCGACGCAGGACGTGGCGCTGTCCCCCCTATTTCTGCTACCATCCCGCGCGAAAGCATAGGCCTCCGACGATCTGACTTTTGCCCGCGAGCGGCCGCTGGGGTCCTGCCCCGCCCACGGGGCCGGCTATTCGCCCCGGATCCATGTTTCATGGTCCCGGGGTTCGAAAGCGGGCCCCAAAAGACGAGACCGAGGGAACTCGACCAGATTCAGAACATCAGACCGTCGGATATCTGAAGCAGGCCCTTTCTTGCCACTCTCCTGCCACACCCTTCCCGCGCTCTGCCGAGGTGGTGCCCGCTTCAAGGGCAACGGCAGGTGGGGGCCAGCTCAGAGGGGGAAACGTCGACCTGGAATCCACGCTGCAGCGCCAACGGGTAGTCGACAGGCCCTCGATGGCGCAAACGTGCGCCCCTGGGCGCGGTGGGCTCTCGGGCGCCCATCGGCGCTCCAAGGGCGACCGGGGGCCGACGTATTCCGCATTTTCCCATGAGGCTGTCCCCCCGACCGTTGCCCCTGACGGAGCAGATGGGGTCGGAGCAGATGGGCTCGGAGCTGATGGAAGGGGCCCTGGGACACACAAATAAATACACACACATAAAAGGATTCCCCATAGTTTCCCATATCTGGGATTCTGTCTTCCCCCCCACTGCCCATGTTGTGTTCTGGGGAATCGACGATTACTTGTGTCTGTATGCTTTTGCTCCTTCTGACGGATGGGCTCGGAGCAGATGGGGTCGGAAGACTGCGACGCATCGACGATGCATCGCCACTGGGTCAGCGATGCGGAGGCGACGTCGACGATGCATCGGCGCCATCGTGGAGAACATCTGGCTCCGCACCGAGCCGCATCGTCGATGCATCGGCGATGCGGCGCGATCCCTCGACCCCATTTTGGGGAAACCAAAAGGTCCCGACACCGCTACCCCCAGTGACATCTCCCAGGGTACGTTCTCACTAGAATTCCGAGCCGACTCCAGCGGTGGCGACGAAGGCCGCCCAGGAAGCCCAAAGGGGGGAAACGGCCGAAAGGTCGCGATATGGGTGCCATTTCCTCCGCTGACATCCTCTATTCGGCAGGGCGTGTTCCCTTACAGGCGGATTTTGGAGGAAACAAATAATCAAGCATAGCCAAACAAAGTCAGAACATCTTCCCTATATTGTTGTTTGACTATGTTTGAATCTGTTTGTTTCCCAGACATCCTGTGGTGTTGGGTCCTCGTTTTGGGGAGACGGTCTCCGCGTCTCTCCTCTCCTCTTCTCCTCTCCTCCCCTCCTCCTCTCCTCCTCCTCTCCTCCTTGCCCTTCCTCTCCCCTCGTCACCCTCTCACTTTGGCACGCCCCTCACACGTTTCGTGGCCCCAAACGGAGCTGCACTTGCTGTCCCAGCGGCGCAGTTCGCACGGCGGCGCCGCCCCATTGTGGCATACACCTCACACGCTTCGTCGCCCAATCAGGAGCTCCACTTAAGGTCCCAGTGGCGCAAATCACATGGCGGCGCTGCCCCATTTTGGCACACCCCTCACACGCTTCGTGGCCCCATGGTGAGCTCCATCGAAAGTCCCAATGGCGCGGTTCGCATGGCGGCGCCGCCCCATTTTGGCAAACCCTCACACATTTCGTGGCCCATAATGAGTTCCACCGAAGGTCACAGTGGTGGACTTCGCGTGGCGGCGCCACCCACTTGTGGCACACCCCTCACACGTTTCGTGGCCCCAAAGTGAGCTCCACTTACTGTCCCAACGGCATCGTTCGCATGGCGGCGCCGCCCCATTTTGGCAAACCCCTCACGCGTTCTTGGCCCAATAAGGAGCTCCAGTGAAGGTCCCCATGGCGCAGTTCGCATGGTGGCGCCGTCACATTGTGGTACACCCCTCACACGCTTCGTGGCCCAATAAAAGGGATCCACAGAAAAAACCCACCGGTGCAATTCGCATGGCGGCGCCGCCCGATTTTAACACACCCGTCACGCGTTTCGTGGCCCCACAGGGAGCTCCACCTAAGGGCCCCGTGGCGCAGTTCGCATTGCGGCGCCGCCCCGTTTTGGCACACCCCTCACACGTTTCGGGGCCCCGTGGGGTGCCCCACCTGAGGTCCCACTGTTTGGCCTCGCGCCGCGGACGACCCGCGCCCGTCGCTGGGACCCTCTCGGGGCGACCAGCGCGCGTCGCGGGAATTTCGCGCGGCGCTCTGCCCAGCGCCTCGCTCTCCCGTCGTCGCTCTGCCCATCGGCCAGCTCCTTGCCCGCCATCAGCCAACCAACTGTATTTCTTTACTACGCGCCGCGGACGACCCGCGCGCGTCGCTGGGACCCCTTCAGGGCGACCAGCGCGCATCGTGGGAACTCCGCGCGGCGCTCTGCCAAGCGCCTCGCTCGCCCGTCGTCGCTGTGCCCTGCGGCTGTATCCTTGCCCGCCATCAGCCAGCCAGCTATCTTTCTGTACACCGCGCCGCGAACGACCTGCGCGCGTCGCTGGGACCCTCTCGGGGCGACTGGCGCGCGTCGCGGGGACTCCGCGCTGCGCTTGCACCTTGGACATTGGAGTACAATGGCAAAAAAGAAGAATGACGAGGGAAGGAAGCGGGCGCGAACCTCGCGAGGGGCGTGCCGACATGGGCGCTGCCATCAGGGTTTCTGGGGGACCCCCTCTATTGCAGCCACGCCCAGTGCCACGAGGATTCAGAGCCAGGCACACCAAAACCGTTCACATCCATATACATTTGCACTGAATGTAGCCATGCTCGTATTCATGCTGATCGACTCATTCGCATTCAGACCCATTCCCAATCAGACTCACTCGCGCTCGGACTCACACGCGCTCAGTCTCTCGTACTAAAACCAATCGTAGTCGTTCGTATTGTGTACCCCGCCACACATTTCGGCACGCCCCTCATGCGGCCCGTGGCCCCATAGGGAGCGCCACCGTAGACGATATTCACAACTGGGACACTCACAACTGCATGTGGTCGGGTCCTTCGCCATGCCAATGTTGGACTATGATTGAACACTCCTCCTGTAGAGGGACACGCCCGACTTAAACCTACTCAAGCATCACCTGGCAGGCCTAGATCCTTGGTTTTCAGGGGTACGCTCAACTCGGATCGTTTGGTGGCCTGGGGGCACCGCCCCAGGACGCCCTCGGATGGGCGCGGCGGTCGGAACGCAGTGCCGAGGCATCAGGAAGTATCCTGCCTTATGTTGTCGCCATCGCACTTACGGACCACATCCCAGGAGTAATCTCGAGCACCAAGAAGGAGTATCGAAAAGGTGTCGAACAAGTATCGCCTCTCCGAGGGCCCGACACTTGACAACCAGTATGTTTCCTGTACTTTCCTGGTGCCCGAAATTCTTTCCGGTGGTCAAAGCGCAATAAGTTGGAACAGCATGGCATCATAATTTGGAACATCATAACTCAAGCCTCGAGCCCGAACTCCCCAGAAGCGAAGCACCCGCCACTGCAGAAGCACCCGCTGCTGCAGATAAGCTTTTGGCGCTCCGCGCGGATACCTCGGATCCGCGCGCCAGGGGCGGCGCCAGAGTCGCCGCCAGGGGGGCCCAGCGCAGATCCAAGAGATCTAGGCGGACACCCCCCCCTCCCCCCCCTGTATATCTGTGTGTGTTTGTGTGTGCGTGTGCGTGTGCGTGTGCGTGTGCGTGTGCGTGTGCGTGTGCGTGTGCGTGTGCGTGTGCGTGTGCGGATGAGTGTGAGTTTGCGTTTTGCGTGTGTGTGTGTGTGGTGTGTTGGTGTTTGTGTGGTGTGTTTGGTGTTGGTGGGTGGCGTGCGTGCGTGGTCGCCGCGCGAGTGTGTGTGTGTGTGTGGTGTGTGTGTGTGTGTGTGTGTGTGTTGTGTGTTGTGTGGTGTGTGTGTCGTGTGTGTGTGTGTGTGTGGTGTGTGTGTGTGTGTGGTGTGCGTGCGTGGCGTGCGCGCGTGCGTGCCGTGACGTGCGTGCGTGCTTGGAAGGATGCGCGGTGCGCGTGCGCGTGCGCGGCGCGTGCGCGTGCGCGTGCGCGTGCGCGTGCGCGTGCGCGTGCGGCGTGCGCGTGCGCGTGCCGACGTGCGCGGCTGCGCGTGCGGCGTGCGCGTGCGCTGGGCGCGTGCGCGTTGCGGTGCGCGTGCGCGTGCGCGTAGCGCGTGCGCTTGCGCGTGCGCTTGCGCGTGCGGTGCGCTGTGCGCGTTGGCGCGTGATGCCCGTGCCGTGTGCGCGTGTGCTCGTGTGGCGCGTGCGCGCGCGCGTGCTGCGCGCGCGCGCAAGGGCGGGGGCGCGGGCGCGGGCGCGGGCGCGCGGGCGGCGGGCGCGGAGCGCGCGGTGCGCCGGGCGCGTCGCGAGTGCGCGTGCGCGTGCGCGTCGCGCGTGCGCGTGCCGCGGGGTGGTGTGCAAGTGCCGCGTGGCGCGTGTGCGTGTGCGAGTGCGTGTGCGTGTGCGTGTGCGTGTGCGTGTGCGTGTGCGTGTGCGTGTGCGTGTGCGTGTGCGTGTGCGTGTGCGTGTGCGTGTGCGTGTGCGTGTGCGTGTGCGTGTGCGTGTGCGTGTGCGTGTGCGTGTGCGTGTGCGTGTGCGCGTGCGTGTGCGTGTGCGTGTGCGTTTGCGTGTGCGGGTGCGGGTGCGTGTGCGTGTGCGTGTGCGTGTGCGTGTGCGTGTGCGTGTGCGTGTGCGTGTGTGCGTGTGTGCGCGTGTGCGCGTGTGTGCGTGTGTGCGTGTGTGTGTGTGTGTGCGTGTGTGTGTGAGAGAGAGAGAGAGAGAAAGAGATATGCGCAGAGCGCCACAAGCTCATGCTCATGGCGTTTTTCCTTCTTCGAGAAGCGCCCGCTGCTGGCCACCCGCCCCGCAGGCGCCGAGCCGAGCCCGCGTGCCACCCCGCCGCCGTCAGTATATGCCGCGCCCCCGCGCGCCTGGCGCAGCGTCGCCGGCGCCATCCTCGCGGGGGCGCGCGGGCACGGACGGAGGTCTGGGGCTAAGTCGGGCGTGCCCCCCTACAGGGGGATGTTGGGCGAAAAATTACCAATATACAGAAAATGCTCCGAAGGTGGTCAAAAAATAAAAAAATAGTCCCCAGACTATTTTTCCTATTTTTCGATCATGTGGGAATATGTTTTGATTGGTGGGAATATTTTTTGAGAATGTAGCACCCCGCAATTGCGGATAAGAATGAGGGGGCGGGCGCGGGCGACGCGGGCGTCGTCAAGCCGGCGGACCTCGTGGCCCCCACCTTCCTTGTCGATGGCGCTCTCTTCCTCCTCCTCCTCCGCCTCCTCCTTCTCCTCCTCCTCCTCCTCCTCCTCCTCCTCCTCTTCCTCCTCCTCTCCTCCCCCCCGGCCTCCTACTTTCCTCCTCTTCCTCTCCTCGTTCCTCGTTCTCATCGCCATCGTCGTCCTCCCCACCTCGTTCTCGTATATCCTCCTCCTCCGCTTCTTCCTCGTCCCACTCTCCCCCTCGCTTCCATCATCGTCCTCCCATTGTCGCATGTTCCTTCCTCGTCGTCCTCCTCACTCTTCCCCCCTCCCAGATCCTCCACCCTCTCCGTCCTTTTCGTCGTCGGTCGTCGTCGTCGAACGGTCATCGTCGTTAGTCCCCTACCTCCTCCTCCCACATCACCCTCCCCTCTCCTGCTTCTCTCCTCATCACTCCTCCTCCTGCTGCTGCTGCTCCTCCTCCTCCTCCTCCTCCTCCTCCTCCTCCTCCTCCTCCTCCTCCTCCCCCTCCTCGTCCTCCTGCAAAAGCAGCCCGCCGCAGGCGCCGAACAAATTGGTTTGTACACTGAACGTGGTCGCGGGTGGGCCGCGGTCTCTCCACCTAGAACGCTTCAAAGATGCCCGCCGCAGGCGCCGAAAAATGTGGTTTGTACCCTGAACGTGGTTTGGGTCGCGGGTCGGTCGCGAGTTGATCGCGGGGTGGGTCGCGGGCTCTCCACCTGGAAGGAATGCAAAAAAAGCCCGCCGCAGGCGCCGAAAATGTTGGTTTGTACCTTGAACGTGGTTTGGGTCGCGGGTGGGTCGCGGGTGGGTCGCGGGGTGGGTCGCGGGTGGGTCGCGGGTGGGTCGCGGGTGGGTCGCGGGTGGGTCGCGGGTGGGTCGCGGGGTGGGCCGCGGGAGGGTCGCGGGGTGGGTCGCGGGGTGGGTCGCGGGGTGGGTCGCGGGTGGGTCGCGGGTGGGTCGCGGGTGGGTCGCGGGGTGGGTCGCGGGGTGGGGCGCGGGTGGGTCGCGGGGCGGGTTGCGGGTGGGGTCGCGGGGTGGGCGCGGGTCGGGTCGCGAGGTGGCGTCGCGGGCGGGTCGCGGGTGGGTCGCGGGGGGTCGCGGTGTGGGTCGCGGGGTTGGTCTGCGGGTGGGTCCGCGGGGCGGGTTTGGCGGGTGGGACGGCGACAACAAACAACAACAAACAACAACAACAACAGCACAACAACAACAACAACAACAACAACAACAAACAACAGCAACAACAAACAACAACAACAACAAAAACAACAAACAAACAACAACAACAAACAACAACAACAACAACAACAACAACAACAACAACAACAACAACAACAACAACAACAACAACAACAACAACAACAACAATCATTTTACCCGAACGCGTGGTGTTCTCCCCAGTGCAGGGTTTTCATACGACACCAGGCAATACCCCCACTTCGTGGGGGGGCATTACAAGCTCTACCAAATATCCAAACGACTCTTCGCGACCACCCAAACCCAGCTTCCCGCCCTATGACGTTGGGACACTTCACTTCGTGGCGAGCGGACGACCGTGGCTACTACACTGGCGTGGGGTACACACCCACAGAACCCAATGGTTTTTGGAGATTTCGGCGTTCGCGCGCGAAGAAAAAACGAATCTGTCCCGCATGGTATTATTTGACAGGGATGATGGCCCTGGCAGGTGCGCAACCGTTGTCGCAGAAGTTCGAAAAAAGTTGCTCGCAAAAGCCCGTTTGACAGAAATGTTTAAAAAGTGTTGGTTTTCCTACGAATCCGCAAGAGCGCGCGGGATGAGATTTTGACATTTTTTTGTTGAAAAACCATTGGTTTTTTTGATGTTTTTATGTTAAAAATCGCTCCGAACACTAAGCTTTTGGAAGGATTTCGTCTTGCGCGCGCGAATGTCCACTTTACCTTATTTTTTGCAAGGGATTCTTGAAATTTGATTATATTAGAACAAGAAATGACATTTTATAGTGTTTTTTTGCAAGGGAAAACGGATTACAACAAAACAACCGGATCCGGACACAATCCACTTTTCTGAAGCTTTCGCTAGAAAATGAAGGAAATGAGGCTGCGGCCTAGGTTTTGGAGGGGGGTCGCGCACCAGGGGTCTCAACAATAATATTTCTTTAGAAGTAATAATATTCAACACGAATCCGCACCGCGGAATCTCACTTCAGCCACGCACCCAGGGACAATGAATGACCGTTCGGCCCCCTCACTCTGATCTTATATTTGTCCTCGAAAATCCCCCTGTAAGGGGATCAGGCCCGGCTTAAGTCTGGGGGGAGAGAGGCAAAATCGGGGGGGGGCGGAAGAGCATCCCTGCCACGCCGCCGCGGGGGGCCCCAGGGCCCCATCGGCGTGTTGCTGTCGATGGGCGCTGTCTGCTTCGGGCGAAGAAAGGGGGAGCAACACGCCGATGCTTGGGCGCCCGAGTTATCCGGTAACTCGGGTCCGTGGTAACTCGGGTTTGGATTCCCGAAACATGAACCCGAGTTAGCCCTGACCCGGGTTACCCCTGATGATGTGGGGCTCTGGACGCCCGAATTATCCGGGGTAACTCGGTTCCGGGGTCGGAATCCCGAAAAACGAACCCGAGTTAGCCCTGACCCGAGCTACCCCTGATGATTCGGGGCTCTGAGATGCGGCCCCGGGGGCCCCCCGCGGAGGCGTGGCATCGACACTCGTTCCCCCCCCCCCCGAGGCAGAGGGAGCCCCGGCGGCGGAGGAGGCCGAGGACACCTCCTCCTCTCCTCCTCCTCCTCCTCCACCTCCTCCTCCTCCCTCCCTCCTCCCTCCCTCCCTCCCTCCCCCTCCTCCTCTCCCCCCCTCCTCCTCCCCCCCTCCTCCTCCTGCTCCTCCTCCTCCTCCTCCTCCTCCTCCTCCAGAGGCTCAGGGGGGCGATGGCAAGGCCCATCGGCACCTGAAGCACACGAGGAATGAAGGCTGGCACGCCCCTCTACACAGGGGAAGGTTCGGGAATGGCAGACCAACAAAAACTCGGGTGACGACTTGTTCGAGAAGTACTTCCAATGTTTGACCAGTGTCCTATCTCTGACAAAAAAATGTTGCACATATGTGGCTAAATATCCGCTCGCTCCTCACAAAGCCCGCCGGTAGGAGGACATGCCCGACCGAAACGAGGGAGGACTGGCGGTGCGCACGGGGGGGGGGCGGGAAGGAGCTTCTTGGAAGGAGGCTGCTTCTTAGACGGCGCCACCCTTACATCGATAGATAAAGAAAAAAACGCGCCCTCTACGCAGCAGGGGAGTGCTTCTGAGAAGCCCTCCCCCGCTACCCCCCACCCCCCTCCGCGCGTGGCTGAGAGGAGAAGTGCCGTGAGCACGCGGGACCCCGGGAACCCAGAGCTTCCCGCGCGCGGCAGGCGCGCACGCGGGCCGTCTCGGGCCGCGCCGCCCGCCGCAACGAGGCGGCGGCGTCCGTGTCCGCGCCCTCGCGGCCTTGGGCTCGGGGCGCGGCCCCGCGGAGACGCGGCCGCACGGCTGCGCCCCGCGAAGGGGCCGCAAAGGAACCGCGCCCCGAGCTCGCGCGGTCGCGAGGCGGCGGATACGGACGTGTGCCTCGCCCACCAAGCCCTGCACGTAATGATGTATTCTTCGTGGCGGCGAGTCCGAGAAGTCTCGACCCATTCCCTGGGACCGGTGTTTCACCCCGAGTCACCTTTTGGCACGGCCCCGAGGCCCGGCGAGGCCCCCAAACAGCTGAAAATAAGGGCCAATCTTCTGTCGTGACTGTTTCTCTCGGCTCGAGGGGGTCTGAGATGAGCGACTCTGGACACAGGGTTCTCCGCACAACGCCCTGACGCCCTCGCCCGATGGCTCACGCGGGTCGCAGGCGCGGCACGCCACGGGGAATCAGAGGGGCGCGTGCGAGCGACTGTGCACGGGCAATTGGCGCTGGAATGTCTACGCGATCGGTCCCGTGTTTCTACGACGCCGAAATCACAACCACAGCGAGGGGGCCGAGATTGCCGAGGAGATACAGAAAGGGGACCCCCAGACCCCCGACGTCATGTTTTTTTTGTTCATGCCGCCGACCCCAGGAGGGCTCGTTTTTTATGGGCCCGAGGCCCAGTGAGGGCCCCAAACGACTGAAAATAGGGAAAACTTCCGGCGTGACGCTTTCTTGGTGGGCTTCTTGTCCACCGCCACCACCATAAGTAGGAGGGGAAGGGGGTCCTCCTCCTCAACCTCTTCTTCCTCCACCTCGTCCTCCACCTCCTTCCCCCCTCCAACTTATGGTGGCGGTGGTGGAAAACAGGCCTATCATTGCATGACTCGAGGGGGCCTGGGGCTGGAGAGACCTGCTTTGGCGACATGGCAGCACGCCGCCGCCGGGCAGCCGCGGTCCAGGCCAAGAGCTCGCGCCGCCGCCTTGACGAAGTCCTCCTTCTCGACGCAGCCCGCGTCGCTGGCGCCTCGAGGAGGCGACGGGAGAGGGCGCCTGGAGCACGCGGGGTGGCCTGGCCTGGCCAACGGCTGGCCGAGCCTCCAGCTCCCATGCGCAACCCGGAAGTGCAAACGACTGGAACTTTCGAATGCGTTGGCTCGTGGCTGCGACTGTCGTGGGCCGCGGCCTACGATCTGGTGCACTCACCTGACGACAGGTTAGGTATGGAACTCGATGCGTGGACTCTAACGTCGGCGGGCCAAATATGGATGCGCAAACAAAGAAACATCGCAATTACGCCTTAACTGGATCCGGATACAAAGAAACTTCTTTGTGACCTCATTCTCTTGCCGTCCTCAGCTAGACGCGCTCGCACCCCAGATCTCGCTCTGACCTCACTCTCGTGGGACCTTCTCAGGGGCCTCTTTGAGGGGCCTCGTAGGGCCTCTAGGAGCCTCTTGGGGCCTATTGGAAGGGGGGATTCTTGGGATCCTTGGGGCCTCGTTTGAACATCTTCAGAGCCTCTTTGGAGCCTCTCCCTGCAGAACTCGGATCCTCCTTGACCTGCGCCCCGTCCCTCACAACCCGATCTCCCTCTTTCCTAACAGACCTCCCCTTCGCAGTAACAAGAGGCCAGGAGTCGAGACCTCCACTGGAATGGGAGGAGGAGGGGGAGAAAGAGGAGGTGGAGGAAGAGGAGAAGGAGAAAGAGGAGAAGGAAGATCAGCAGGAGGAGGATAATGAGGAGGAGGAGGAGAAGACGGAGGAGAAGGAGAAGACGGAGGAGAAGCGGCGGCCCGAGGGGGCGCCCCTGCCGCGCAGCAGCGCGCGCAGCTCCGAGCTGCTGAGCCGCCGCAACTCCTCTTGGCTGCGGGGCTCGCCCATTGGCCCGCCGGGGCTGTCGCGCTCCCCCGGGGCAGGCCAGCCGGCGCGCGCGCGGGCGCGCGCGCGCGCGGCGGGCGAGCAGCTGCGGCCGCAGGGGCGGCGCGGCGGCCTGCAGCGCGGCGGGCCGACACGGGCCCTCTGAGGCGCCGCAGCAGCCGCCCGCCGGCACCGCGGCGGCGGCGGCGGCGGCGGCGGCCTGGGCGTCGATCGGCGGGGGTGACGGGTGCAGGGCGCTGAGATCCTGGCGTTGCAGTGCTGCAGTGCCGATGTATTCGCGGCGGGTGCGGTCGCCCGGCTCTGGGCCCTGCAGGACCCTGGCTCCGGTCAGAGGAAGCGCGGCGCAGAGGGATGGGGTCCGGGGCTCCCGGCGTGCTCTTTTCTCTACGCGTCGCAATTCTAGCGCAACGTCGGAACTCAGGGGGGAAGGCTAAGAAACGTGCGTTCGGGCACTCGGGAATTTACTGACCCAGGTCAACGCATTCCCGGGTCAATCGGGCTCCGCAGGATCCTGCAAACTCCTTCAGGATCCTGCAGGATCCTTCGCGCTGGCCCAGGTCAATGCTTAACCCGGGCTCGGCAGGATGCGTAAGATCTGGCGCTGTGACTGACCCCCGCCTCCACTGACCACCGTCCCTAGACTCGTCTACACGAGGATGACCTTTGGTGTGAGGCTTTTTGGGGGCAGCGGGGGGACCAAACACAAGCACGAAAGACGCTACTCGTACTATCGCACCGCGTTCGGCGATCGGGTGGCCCCATTGGGGCCCGCACCCAAGGTCACTCAGGCGAAGGGTCACTTTTACGTGTAGTCGACCCAGGCTCCCGAAGCATCGAACACGGCTTGAGACCAGCCGCTCCAACTCGTGTTCGGAGCCTCTGCTCTACGGGGATTCGGGAGGGGGGGCGCACAAGGATCCTGCACGATCCAGCGCTCTGGCTGACCCCCCTCTGCACTGACCCCCGTCCCCAAGGGCCCTCGAAGCATCGAAAACGGCCCAGGAGTGGCCGCTCCAATTTGCGCTCCAAGCCTCGGACCTTCGCCACCCCGACACGCAACACGCGACCCGTAGCAACAGGCACCCCCTAGCGCGCGGACACGGAGCTCCACACGCCGCCCGAACACGCAGCCCTGGCGTGACGCGCTCGCCGAGACGTGGGTCGGCACGTGCCGAGCCAGCACGCAGCGTGTGAACACTGGCGTCCTGAACACGGTGCGTGCTGCGTGCCGAGAGCAGCGAACAAGCAGCCGAGCTTCGGACCTCCACGGGAACTCAGGAGCGGGGCCGGGGGCGGTGCGGGCGGGCGGCTTGCCGAGGCAGGCCTTCCCTCCCCCCCCCGGCGCTGCCGAGGAGACGTGGCAGGACCCCCTCACCCATCGCTCGGACGTCCCTTCCCCATGCATTGTTCGGCCTCGCGCATCTCCCCGCCTTCCCAGCCCCCCTCGGCTCATGAACAAGAACCACGGCGGGAGGTCTCTCTCGCAACCCAGGGCCGGAACGGGCCTGCAGCGGCAGAAGACAGCGCAAGCCATACAGCGCCATGATTTTGCTCGTGTCCCGAGGGGTCCTGGGATCGATTCAATAACCGACCGCTCGGCCCCCTGACTCTGATCCATAGTCGGGCGTCTGGGGATCACTCGGGGATCTCTGTGCAAACTGGCGGCCCAAGAAAATGTGTACGCGGCGCCGCGGCCGTCCCCCAGAGCTCTCCAGAACGCCGTGGGAGCGCCCTCGGCCTGCCCGACAAGCGGCTGCGCCGACGAGCCGGGCCAGCATATAGAGGCCTCCTAGATGGGGTCCGAGTAGGTGGGGTCGAAGGATCGCGCCGCATCGCCAATGCATCGCCGATGTATCGGCGATGCATCGCCGACGCATCAGCGACGCCGGCGATGCATCGGCGACGTCGGCGTGGGACAATCGGGCGCCACATCGAGCCGCACCGTCGCTGCATCGGCGAGGCATCGGCGATGCGGCGCGATCCTCCGACCCCATCGTCTCCGACCCAATCTGGGAGGCCTAGAGCACAGGGGGGGGGATTGGCGGAGATCACGGCGCGAGGCCTGCGCGCAAACGAGAGGGCGCCATGCCACGGGGAGCGCATGGGGAGAAGCGGAGCAGGCCCCGAAGCATGGGACCAACGGGCCGGGAAGCAACAATGTGCGTGTGTGTGTGCGTGTGCGTGTGCGTGTGCGTGTGCGTGTGCGTGTGCGTGTGCGTGTGCGTGTGCGTGTGTGTGTGTGTGTGTGAGTGTGTGTGTGTGTGTGTGTGTGTGTGTTTGCGTGTGCGTGTGCGTGTGCGGTTGCGTGTGCGCGTGCGTGCGTGTGCGTGAGTGTGAGTGTGTGTGTGTGTGCGTGTGTGTATGTGCCTGTGTCCAAGGCCCTATCCGCCAGCGCAGTCCTTCTGCCTAGCCGCCGACGTGAAAAGTGTGTGCGTGTGCCTCCCTGGCCAGGCCAGGAGGGCACATGCGCCGCTCCGGGGCACGGGACGAGCCTGGCCGGGGGCGGTGGGAGTGTCTGGGCCTCGCTGCACTGTCCCTCCCTGCGCCCCGTCCGTCGAGCACCCCTTCCCAGTGCACCCGCGAGGCACACGGCCCCGTCAAAGAACGAGACGGGGGTGGCGGAGGGGCAGACAGTTACGAGCTGCTGGCGAGCGAATGCCAGTCGAGACAGCTGCGGCCCTCCCTGGCATCTTGACACCCGCTTCGTCCTCGTGGGGGGCCTCCGGCCACCGCGGCGGGATTCTCCGCCTCGAGACGCCAATGCGGATGGATCCAGAGAGAGGTCCCGGCACGGACCCTGAGCGGATCTGGGACAGGCGGGAACGTCGCCGTCGCCGTCGTCTCACAGCTGGCCCTTCCCTGAGCTGCGGCCGTCACTGTATCCCATATCCGTGCCCTGGCGGTCTGGACGACGAGGCGCGATGCCATGGGTACGTTCCGCGCAGGGCACTCGCGCAGCGCCAAAGCCTCCGTCTCTGCTGGGGTCGCGGCCACGCAGTCCAGTCCGCACGGGCGCGGGCGTGGACAACGCCCGCCCCGGAGACGTGGCGAGCTCAGCCGACGAGGTGCCACGTTTGGAGCAGAGACCGACCGCCCCGGCATTCCTATAGGCCTACCGCGACACGTCCGCAGGGCAAAACAGTGCTCGAAGCAAAAGGCAAGGCTCTTCCAACAGGAAGCCGATGGATTCAAATTACGCTGTCTCAGCTAGAGGTGCTCTCAGAACCGTTCGTGCAAACCACACATCGCTCTTCTAAACATCCTCTGGCGAGCCCACACAGTCGGGGCCCTGAGGAAGGAGCCCTTTTCGTGGGGGAGGGGCTCGGTGTTCCTTGACTGTTCTGCAGTTTGCCTTCTGTTTTCCTGAGGTTTTCCATGGCACATCGAAGTTCAACTTATGGGAGAAAGGGGCCCCGTTCCCTATATAGGGTTCCTTAGGTCCACGCCCCGACTGTCGGCGAGTCGGGACGCTCCGCCACTGCGTGCGCCCCTGAGCGCCCCCGCCGCCCCTCGCCCTCCTCCTCCTCCTCCTCCTCCCCGCCGCCCCTCCTCCTGCTCGAACTCGGCCACTCCCAGCCGGCCCTGCGATCGCAGGGACTCGACGGTGGCGTCCAGGTCGGCGCGCCAGGAGGCGGACTCGTCCTGCGGAGGCGCGCGCGCGCGGCTGGCCGCGGGAGCCGCCCGCCGTCCGCTGCGCGAGCTCGCTGCAAGGCTGAAGTCGGGCGTGCCCCCCTACAGTGGCATTGTCGACGAAAAAATGTATAAAAAAGCACCTACAGCATACCCCAGAATGGTCAAACAAATACTGAAAGAATAGTCCCCCGACGATTTTAGAGGGACGTGCCCGACTTAATGCAAGGCGGACCGGGTCGAAGGGAACGCCTCGGGACCTCTGCGAGGGCGCCCGGCTCTCACGGCAAGCGGGGCCCTGCCGCTGCGGGGACGTCGGGCGGCCACAGCCGCATCGAGGGCACGCCCTCGGGGACGTCTTGCGCACGCCAGCAATGCTCAGCACACCGAAGCCAGCTTAGCCCTGGTGGTGGTCGACGTGGGCGCCCATGCCGACCAGAGCGACCACAGCCACAGCCAAACTGTTCATGCCGAGGCCGGTGGACTCTCCCCCGAGGGGCCCTCCCGACAAATCCACTCCGTTCTGGATGTGGATTCGTGTTGCGCCTGGAACCGAAGAGCCCGGGCCGCCACGTTGCGACAAGGCAAGGAGCAAGCGCAGGCGCCCGCTCGGGAGGCGCAGGAGAGGTCGGCACCGTGCTTGCGCATGACGCTCTACGCATGAACTCCACATTTGCAGAGCGCACGCACGAGAGGTGTACAGAGAACCTGCTTGTGCGCATTTACGCACATTACAATCTGCCACACCTGTGTGCCTCTCCCGCTGGCATGGCGTGCGCTGCCCCACCGAACTCTCCTTCCTCGATGGCGTGCTCTGAGGACTGCGCGCCCGCTCGAGCTGGGCCGGTCTCCTCGCGGACCTTCTCGGCCAGCAGCTGGACCACCCGGGCACATCTCGCCAGCGTGCGCCGCTCCTGCCCACCCGCAGGAGGGGGGGGAGGAGGAGGAATATGGAGAATGGAGGATGGAGGAGGAGGAGGAGGAGGAGGAGGAGGAGGAGGAGGAGGAGGAGGAGGGGAGGAGGGGGAGGAGGAGGGGAGGGGATGAGGAGGAGGCAGAGGACGGGGAGGAGAGTCGGGTGTGTCGTGTGGGGGGGGCGTGGCACATCCCGTGTCCGTCGTCAGTCGTCGTCGTCGTCGGTCTCGTCGTCGTCGGGCGGCTCCGCCTCCGCGGGGTGTGGGCCGCAAGCACAGCGCGGACGAGGAGGGAGAGGAGGAGGAGGAGGAGGAGGAGGAGGAGGAGGAGGAGGAGGAGGAGGAGGAGGAGGAGGAGGAGCGGCGGGAGAGGGTGATGGTGATGGTGGTGGTGATGATGATTATGATGAGGGTGATGACGATGCTGATGCTGATGCTGATGCTGATGCTGATGGCGAAGGTGATGGTGATGGTGATGGTGATGATGCTGCTGATGATGCTGATGATGAGGATGAGGATGATGCTGATGATGAT